GTCCAGTCCAACTTCTCTGCTACAAGCTTGTGATTGTGAATTGTGTTTTGATCTTTTAATTGTTATATCTTGTATCTGCCAAGCAATCATGACACCCAGTAAGCATATCAGTGTTTCTCAAAGTGGCAAGAAAAGGTGTAAGCATTTAAGTCTTAGAATTAACGAAGGAAACAAAGATATTAGACAAGACATCCTGTGGCCATAATGAAGTGTTACTTTGTACATATAAAAAAGAGGTAAACATAAGCTTGTGTGACTGACTGACTTACTGAATGACTGACTTACTGACTGAATGACTTACTGAATGACTGACTTACTGATTGAATGACTTACTGAATGACTTACTGATTGAATGACTTACTGACTGAATGACTGACTTACTAACTGAATGACTGACTTACTGAATCACTTGACTGACTTACTGAATCACTTGACTGACTTACTGAACGACTTGACTGACTTACTGAACGACTTGACTGACTTACTGAATCACTTGCTTGACTTACTGAATCACTTGACTGACTTACTGAATCACTTGACTGACTTACTGAATGACTTGAGACTTACTGAATCACTTGACTGACTTACTGAATCACTTGACTGACTTACTGAATCATTTGACTGACTTACTGAATCACTTGACTGACTTATTGAATCATTTGATTGAATGACTTAAAGTTAGACACTCCAGTACAACCATCAACTTCAGTACCAGAACCTCTACCATCCACCTCAGCCCAGTAGGACCACAACATAACTCTGCACTCTCTTCACAATCATCCACAAACACCAGCACTATTATTTTTGTTACATTTGTAGTCTTAAGCAGTAAAAACAACATAATACATTATAACAATGAAATGCAATTACATTTTCATTTTTATTTTTGTAAGATGTGGAGGCCTAAAAAAAGTTGTTTGGCTTTTTAGGGGCTTAGAGGAACGTAACCCTATTTTTCCCATAAGTTCTTTAGTTCATTTAACATGGGTTTACCTAACTCGGTGTTTTCAGGAACGTAACTACCGTGTTAATGACGGTCTACTGTATCTGGTAAGGTGCTGATGTGAATTGCAGTTAACAGGTGTTTTTTTTTTGCACGTGTTGACAGTTGTTGTGGGGGAGTACGAGGTGCAGGTGTATGACCAACTGGTGATGTCTGGCAACACTGCCGTGCTGAGGTGCGCCGTACCTTCTTACGTGAGGGAGCACGTGACTGTTACTTCCTGGCTGCACGACAACACCTTCAACATTTACCCTTCTCTGCACGGTGGTAAGTACACTTCCCTGTACGGTGGTAAGTACTCTTCCCTGCACGATGGTAAGTACCCTTCCTTGCACGATGGTAAGTACCCTTCCCTGCACGATGGTAAGTACCCTTCCCTGCACGGTGGTAAGTACCTTTCCCTACATGGCGGTAAATACCCTTCCCTGCACGGTTGTAAGTACCTTTCCCTGCACGATGGTAAATACCCTTCCCTGCACCGTGGTAAGTGCCCTTCCATGCACAGTGGTAAGTACCCTTCCCTGCACGGTGGTAAATACCCTTCCCTGCACAGTGGTAAATACTCTTCCTTCTACGGTGGTAAGTACCTTTCCATACACAGTGGTAATACCCTTCCCTGCATGATGGTAAGTAACCTTCCCTGCACTGTTATATATTCTTCTCTGCACGGCGGTAAGTACCCTTTCCTGCACTGTGGTAAGTACCCTTTTCTGCATTGTGGTACGTACCCTTCTCTGTACATGGACACACTCACTCACACACACACGCACACACACACACACACACACACACACACACACACACACACACACACACACACACACACACACACACACACACACACACACACACACTCACACACACACACACACACACACACACACGCACATACGCATGCACACACACACACATACACACACACACACACATACACACACACGCGCGCACACACACACACACACACACACAGTTGAAGGTTTGGTATACGAATGCGTATGGAATAACAAATAAATGTGAGGAGTTGCATGAAAGGATCAAGGGGACATTCCCAGACATCATAGCACTCACAGAAACAAAAGTCACTGGGATAACAGACGCAATCTTTCCACCTGGATATCAAATCCTGAGGAAAAATAGAGGGAGCAGAGGGGGAGGAATTGCACTGCTCATTAAAAACCAATGGAGATTCGAGGAAATAGAAGAAATGGACTAAACGTGCAAATGGGACTGAGAAGTAAGTACAATTCAATCTGTGGGACATAAGATAATCATTGCAGTGATGTACAGCCCCCACAGAACTGCAGGAGGCCAAGAGAAGAATATGAAGAGAGCAACAGAGCAATGGTGGACACACTAGCTAAGGTGGCCAGATGAGCTCACATGGATAGAGCAAAAAGTTACCGGTTATGGGCGATTTCAGTCACAAGGAGATTGACTGGGAAAACCTGGAGCCACATGGGGGTCCCGAAAAGTGGAGAGCCAAGCTGATGCATATGGTACTGGAAAACATATCATGCATCAACATGTTAGCGATACTACCAGAGAGAGAGAGAGAGGTGAGAGCTAGTGCTCAGTTGGTTCTGAGCTTTGAATACATAGTAGAGTTGCAGTTGGAGAGGGTAGCAGTAGGATGGGAAAACCCAAACTACAAAACAGGGGGCTACACAGACATGAAGAACTTCCTGCAGGAGGGTCAGTGGGAAAGGGAATTGGCACGAAAATCAGTTTACGAAATGATGGACTATGTGACAACAAGGGCAACAGAAATAATGGGAAGACCAGAACGAGCCCTTGGTTTACCTAAAGGCGTAGGGAGGAAAAACCAAGTGTGCTAGAGAATGGAAAAAGAACAGAAGGCTAAGGAACCAGGAAAACAAAGAGATTAGTCGAAGAGCCAGAAACGAGTATGCACCAGATAAGGAAAGAGGCCCAGCGACAGTACGAAAACGACATAGCATCGAAAGTCAAGTCTGACCCGAAGCTGTTGTATAGCCATATCAGGAAGAAGACAGTCAAGGACCAGGTAATCAAGCTGAAGAAGGAAAGTTGGGAACTCAAAAGAAACGACCAAGAAGTATGTGAGGAGCTCAACAAACAGCCAGAGACGAGAGATCACTGGAGAGATAGAGAGCGAGGTGCTGGTCGAGCGATGACCAGCTGAGGAGAGAGAACGATTTCTTGACAATAGGCCTCTCCTCAGGTGAGATCACGTGACTTGACCATGCTTTTCCAGCGAAGTGCAAGGTACAGTCTGATACCAAAAAGTGAGAGGTAGTTAGCATGATAGTTTGCGACAGCGGACACCCAATCGCAACTCTTCAACTTCGAGCACAGTGAGAAGTGTTATTGATATATCCTACCTACATACATAGTTAATATAATAAATCAAATAATAATATAAAACAAGATATTTTCATTATAGCTATTAATGAAAATATCGGCAATGCAAAATTATATGAAAAGGTAAGTATCTACACAATAAACATTGAGCTCCATTTGGGGGGCGTAATACAAACCTACTGGAGTTTCATGACAAGGTAACGGAAGTAAGACATGAGAGAGAGAGAGGTGGGTAGATTGCATTTTCTTGGACTGTAAGAAGGACTTCGACACAGTTCTTCACAAGAGATTAGTGCAAAAGCTAGAGCATCAGGCATACATAACAGGAAGAGCACTCCAATGGATCAGAGAATACTTGACAGGGAGGCAACAACGAGTCATGGTACGTGACGAGGTGTCAGAGTGGGTGCCTGTGATCCGCGGGGTTCCAGAGGGGTCAGTCCTAGGACCAGTGCTATTTTTGGTACATGTGAATGACATGATGAAAGGGACAGACTCAGAAGAGTGCCTGTTTGCAGATGATGTGAAGTTAATGAGAAAAAATAAATCGGATAAGGAACAGGCAGGATTACAAAGAGACCTGGATAGGCTGCAAGCCTGGTCCAGCAACTGGCTCCTCGAATTTAACTCCGCCAAATCCAAAGTCATGAATATCGTGAAGGGCAAAGAAGATCTCAGACAGAGTATAAGCTAGGTGGCTAAAGACTGCAAACGTCACTCAAGGAAAAGGATCTTGGGGCGAGTATAATATCGAGCACATCTGAGGCGCGCATCAACCAGATAACTGCTGCAGCATATGGGAGCCTGGCAAACCTGAGAACAGAGTTCTGATACTTCAGTAAGGAATCATTCATAACTCTGTACACCGCGTACGTCAGGTCGGTACTGGACTGTGTAGCACCAGTTTGGAACCCACACCTAGTCAAGCACGTCAAGGTATTAGAAAAAATATAAATGTTTGCAACGAGACTTGTCCCGGGGCTAAGCTGCATATCCTGTGAAGAGAGGTTAAGGGAAATCTACCTTGACGACTCTGGAGGACAGGAGAGATAGGGCAGACATGATAACGACATATAAAATACTGAGAGGAATCGACAAGGTGCACAGAGACAGGATATTCCAGAGATGAGACACAGGAACAACGGGTCACAATTGGAAGTTGAAGACTCAGATGAGTCAAAGAGATATTAGGAAGTATTTCTTTAGTCACAGAGTTGTCAGGAAATGGAATATTCTGGCAAGTGATGTAGTGGAGGCAGTAACCATACTTAGTTAAGAAGTTTAATTAAGCTCATGGAGCAGGGAGAGAGGACCTAATAGCGACCAGTGAAGAGGCGGGGCTAGGAGCTATGACCCGACCCCTGCAACCACAAATAGGTGAGTACACACACACACACACACACACACACACACACACACACACACACACACACACACACACACACACACACACACACACACACACACACACACACACACACATTAAATAATGCCTCATAAAAGGCAAAGTGTCAAAAAAAAAAGACCGAGAAAAAAACCGAACACATAAACACTCATAAAAAATGTTGATTAGCACTACTTTGAAATGCATGAGATTTCTATTCAAAAAAAGAGAGAGAATAAATTTTTCTCAGTTATAATTAATAAAACATTAATTGCAGCTTCGAGTAAATTATAACTTAATTCATTGTAAATTACGCAGTGAATTCTATGCTGCTGAAAATTATCAGGCACTGCAAATGTTGTTGCTTTGGAAGTCACTGTAAATGTTGTTGCTTTGGAAGTCACTGTAAATGTGTGAAGCATTGTAAATCATTGTAAATGTGTGAAGCATTGTAAATCATTGTAAATGTGTGAAGCATTGTAAATCATTGTAAATGTGTGAAGCATTGTAAATCATTGTAAATGTGTGAAGCATTGTAAATCATTGTAAATGTGTGAAGCATTGTAAATCATTGTAAATGTGTGAAGCATTGTAAATCATTGTAAATGTGTGAAGCATTGTAAATCATTGTAAATGTGTGAAGCATTGTAAATCATTGTAAATGTGTGAAGCATTGTAAATCATTGTAAATGTGTGAAGCATTGTAAATCATTGTAAATGTGTGAAGCATTGTAAATCATTGTAAATGTGTGAAGCATTGTAAATCATTGTAAATGTGTGAAGCATTGTAAATCATTGTAAATAGTGAAACATTGTAAATCATTGTAAATGTGTGAAGCATTGTAAATCATTGTAAATGTGTGAAGCATTGTAAATCATTGTAAATGTGTGAAGCATTGTAAATCATTGTAAATGTGTGAAGCATTGTAAATCATTGTAAATGTGTGAAGCATTGTAAATCATTGTAAATGTGTGAAGCATTGTAAATCATTGTAAAAGTTGAAACATTGAAAAATCATTGTAAATGTTGGAACATTGTAAATCACCGGAATGTAAATCAAGGTAAAAGTTGGAACATTGTAAATCTCTGAATAATGTCGTTGTTTGAGAACTGTTAATTATATATGTGTTCTGGTTTAATAGATTTTTTGTCAAATAAAACCTTATTTGTTGATTAAAAATTTATTTGTTAATTAAAACCTTATTTATTAATTAAAACTTTATTTGATAATCAAAATTATATTTGTTAATTAAAACCTTATTTGTCAATTAAATCTTAATTTGCTAATCAAAACATTATTTATTAATTAAACATTATGTTCTGTCGGATAATTCTAATGAGAATTAGGAAATTAGGAATTAGGGGAATTGGGAAACAATGCCGAGATTTACAAAGACACAACTTTGTAAACAATGGTTTGTAAATAATGGTTGTAAACAGTGGTTTACAAAGCGAAAATTGCCATAGGAATGTGAACGAAGGAATACATAGGTATCAGGAGCATTAAAACAATATTTGCAACTGTATACAAAGGTATACAAA